GATCAGGTGGTCGACCTGCCGGTGCCTTACGACTACATGTCTCTGATGCAGTACGCCACGACGGCTTTTGCCGATGACGACCTCCGGCCCATTTTTGTGTCCACCGACGGGCACTACCAGTACATACTCGATTATCACCGCAAGGCGGGTATGGCGCAGTCGCATTACGACATGTACGCCCTGAACACGGTGTACGGCTGCGATAAACTCTGGGCTGCGTCTTGTAGATTTAACGGAAAACACGTGCCAAAGTGCACAAACATGGGCTTCTTAACTAAAGACTGCACGTGTCAATGCCCGAGGGAATATACAGGTGAAACCTGCGACACGAAAGCAGGGCCTACATACCCCATTCTAGCCAAAGCAAAGGTGATGATCGATGTGAGGAAGTCCCAGAAGATTTATCTGGGAACCAAGACGTTTGTGCCGGACAGGGGTGATGCAGTATTGGACAACTTTAAATATTTTCAGTTCTTCACGGTGATAGCTGACGGTGACACCAAAACACAGGTGTCAATAAACATAAAACAGAGCGCATACAAGAGCCGCTTCTTTTTAAGTCGACAATCCGCCTTCTTCATCATAAGAAACATCCACTTTATGGACTGCCAGATCAATCTGTTCTGGGGCCTTTCGAAAAAGGGCCAGCTGAGGACCGAGTGCCTGTCATCCGTGGCCAACAACGAACCTGACGGACCCATGTTTAACAGCAGGAGCAGCCACCTGGACATGATTTACCGCAGCAGCATAGGCTACAGCCTTGGCGATCCCAAGATCAGCATCACCTTGATGCAGCTACAGTTGGACGTCGTCTTTGCCCCCAAGCCTGACAAAGTGCTCAAGCTGAAGAAGGCAGCGTCCAGTGGCGGCAGCAACGGCGGTAACAGCACCGGCGGCAATGGCACTGACCCGGGCGCGTCCAGCATGATTGGTGCCGGTGCCGGCGTCGGTCTGGGAGTGGGTCTGACGCTGCTGGTACTCTTGCTCATCGTGTGTATCGCGACTGCCCTTATCGCCAGGAGGAAGAGGCAACTGGCAGCCATGCTAGACCCGGACGCCATGCTGGACAACATCGCCGAACACCTAGGTGACAGCAGCGACTCAACCAGTACTTTCTTTGACGACACAACCGACAGCGACGACGATGACAAGTCGTGATGGTGTCGTGCGGCAATGAGTTCAGGTGTGTCTTCAGCATGCAGTGACGCGGACGAGGTTGTGTTCTGTGGCTTGCTAGTCGCCTATTACTGGGAGGAAAACGGGGGGACGAAGAGGTGATCGGGTCGAAACAACTGTGAAAAGAAGACAATGAGCCGGGAAAAGTGCCGCCCAGTTTGACGACGCATTTGATGCGGAGTTTTCGACACGGGAAACACTTATTAGTGTGCGGCCTCATAACTAGTTATTACAAAGGTGTATCATTCAACCTATCTTAAGTGATGTCCGAAGAAACAACCGTTAAGAAGACACCAAATAACACGACGCTGGAGTCAAAAGGGTTTAACATCGAAAGGCATCAGGGACAGTATCATTGAAATGGAAGTGGCCGAGGTGTCGACCAGCATGGCAACGAACATAATCAAAGCTGATAGATCAAGATTGCATGAATACAGACTCCCTTGATAGCTATTCCTTTATAAGTAATCAGCGGCCTCAGAAACAGTCGATACACGAAACAAAGTTAACGTGAAGGTATCAATTCCAAGATATTTATGCTACGGCATGTGGAAACATTTGCTTTTTGCTGCGCAGCTCGTGGTGTCAACACAGTTCTCATCTGCAGCATCGGGGCATTCTAAGTTAACGAAACCGTGGCAAATGGAATCTTTCGCCGAACGGTTAAGGGGGCACAATGCTCAAAATCTGACGTACAGTGAAACAGCAGCCATTCTACGAGCCCGAGGCTACAAAGTGAAGGAGTTCAAAGGTGAGCCACCATTGGTAATGATTGCTGACACTGCGCACCTGCCCGAGCAGGTAATGCCCCAATTGTCACAAGACCGATTCACTGGTATCATCTCAAGCAACAACCTATGGAAGGACGAAAGAGGCTCAGCTCAGTGCTGGTACTTTTTTGACACAGAATCACGAGCAGACAAGAATGTGTTCAAGGCCGCGGTAAAGACGTGGAGTGACAAAAGCTGCATCAAGTTCAACAAGATTCCAGACGGCCCATGCACACAGAAAGTCGGGCACGGCGCCATCTGCGTAGGAGACTACGGCGGCTGCTTTTCTTTTGTAGGCAACATCTACAAGGAGGGAGGGACACCACAGAAGATGTCCGTTCAGCCCAATGGCTGCGAAATGGTGGCCGCGGCACACGAGTTCGGCCACGCGCTGGGCAACCAGCACCAGCAGAGCCGTCCAGACCGAGACTTGTTCATGTTCGTCAACAACGAGAACTTTGAGGTGTCGGTGGACAAGAGCAGGCGGGGCGATGCCTTGTCGCAAACCTGGGCACAGGGTGGCCGCTGCGCCAAAGATCAGGTGGTCGACCTGCCGGTGCCTTACGACTACATGTCTCTGATGCAGTACGCCACGACGGCTTTTGCCGATGACGACCTCCGGCCCATTTTTGTGTCCACCGACGGGCACTACCAGTACATACTCGATTATCACCGCAAGGCGGGTATGGCGCAGTCGCATTACGACGTGTACGCCCTGAACACGGTGTACGGATGCGGCAAACTCTGGGCTGCGCAATGTAAAACTATCGGAAAACATGTGCCAAAATGCACAAACTTGGGCTTCTTGACTAAAAACTGCAAGTGTCAATGCCCTCCGGCATATAAAGGTGAAACGTGTGGCACGAAAGCAGGGCCTATATTTCCCCTCCTAGCCAAAGCGAAAGTGATGATCGATGTGAAAGAGTCCCAGAAAATTGATCTGGGAACTAAAAAGTTTGTGCCGGACAAGGGTGATGCAGTATTGGACGACTTCAAAAATTTTCAGTTCTTCACGGTGATAGCTGATGGTGACCCCAAGACGCAAGTGTCAATAAACATAAAACAGAGCGCGCACAAGAGTCCGAGCTTTCTTAGTGCACAAAGCGCCGCCTTCCTTTTGAGAACCTTCAATAAACAAGATTGCGCGATTATCCTGTACTGGGGTCTTTCGAAAAAGGGCCAGCTGAGGACCGAGTGCCTGTCATCCGTGGCCAACAACGAACCTGACGGACCCATGTTTAACAGCAGGAGCAGCCACCTGGACATGATTTACCGCAGCAGCATAGGCTACAGCCTTGGCGATCCCAAGATCAGCATCACCTTGATGCAGCTACAGTTGGACGTCGTCTTTGCCCCCAAGCCTGACAAAGTGCTCAAGCTGAAGAAGGCAGCGTCCAGTGGCGGCAGCAACGGCGGTAACAGCACCGGCGGCAATGGCACTGACCCGGGCGCGTCCAGCATGATTGGTGCCGGTGCCGGCGTCGGTCTGGGAGTGGGTCTGACGCTGCTGGTACTCTTGCTCATCGTGTGTATCGCGACTGCCCTTATCGCCAGGAGGAAGAGGCAACTGGCAGCCATGCTAGACCCGGACGCCATGCTGGACAACATCGCCGACAACCTAGGTGACAGCAGCGACTCAACCAGTACTTTCTTTGACGACACAACCGACAGCGACGACGATGACAAGTCGTGATGGTGTCGTGCGACAATGAGTTCAGGTGTGTCTTCAGCATGCAGTGACGCGGACGAGGTTGTGTTCTGTGGCTTGCTAGTCGCCTATTACTGGGAGGAAAACGGGGGGACGAAGAGGTGATCGGGTCGAAACAACTGTGAAAAGAAGACAATGAGCCGGGAAAAGTGCCGCCCAGTTTGACGACGCATTTGATGCGGAGTTTTCGACACGGGAAACACTTATTAGTGTGCGGCCTCATAACTAGTTATTACAAAGGTGTATCATTCAACCTATCTTAAGTGATGTCCGAAGAAACAACCGTTAAGAAGACACCAAATAACACGACGCTGGAGTCAAAAGGGTTTAACATCGAAAGGCATCAGGGACAGTATCATTGAAATGGAAGTGGCCGAGGTGTCGACCAGCATGGCAACGAAAATAATCAAAGCTGATAGATCAAGATTGCATGAATACAGACTCCCTTGATAGCTATTCCTTTATAAGTAATCAGCGGCCTCAGAAACAGTCGATACACGAAACAAAGTTAACGTGAAGGTATCAATTCCAAGATATTTATGCTACGGCATGTGGAAACATTTGCTTTTTGCTGCGCAGCTCGTGGTGTCAACACAGTTCTCATCTGCAGCATCAGGGCATTCTAAGTTAACGAAACCGTGGCAAATGGAATCTTTCGCCGAACGGTTAAGGGGGCACAATGCTCAAAATCTGACGTACAGTGAAACAGCAGCCATTCTACGAGCCCGAGGCTACAAAGTGAAGGAGTTCAAAGGTGAGCCACCATTGGTAATGATTGCTGACACTGCGCACCTGCCCGAGCAGGTAATACCCGAATTGTCACAAGACCGATTCACTGGTATCATCTCAAGCAACAACCTATGGAAGGACGAAAGAGGCTCAGCTCAGTGCTGGTACTTTTTTGACACAGAATCACGAGCAGACAAGAATGTGTTCAAGGCCGCGGTAAAGACGTGGAGTGACAAAAGCTGCATCAAGTTCAACAAGATTCCAGACGGAACATGCAGACAGAGAGTTGGACACGGCGCAATCTGCGTGGGAAACTATGGCGGCTGTTTTTCTTATGTAGGAAACATCTACAGACCGAGAGGAACACCACAGAGGATGTCCGTTCAGCCCAATGGCTGCGAAATGGTGGCCGCGGCACACGAGTTCGGCCACGCGCTGGGCAACCAGCACCAGCAGAGCCGTCCAGACCGAGACTTGTTCATGTTCGTCAACAACGAGAACTTTGAGGTGTCGGTGGACAAGAGCAAGCGGGGCGATGCCTTGTCGAATACGTGGGCGCAGGGTGGCCGCTGCGCCAAGGATCAGGTGGTCGACCTGCCGGTGCCTTACGACTACATGTCTCTGATGCAGTACGCCACGACGGCTTTTGCCGATGACGACCTCCGGCCCATTTTTGTGTCCACCGACGGGCACTACCAGTACATACTCGATTATCACCGCAAGGCGGGTATGGCGCAGTCGCATTACGACATGTACGCCCTGAACACGGTGTACGGCTGCGATAAACTCTGGGCTGCGTCTTGTAGATTTAACGGAAAACACGTGCCAAAGTGCACAAACATGGGCTTCTTAACTAAAGACTGCACGTGTCAATGCCCGAGGGAATATACAGGTGAAACCTGCGACACGAAAGCAGGGCCTACATACCCCATTCTAGCCAAAGCAAAGGTGATGATCGATGTGAGGAAGTCCCAGAAGATTTATCTGGGAACCAAGACGTTTGTGCCGGACAGGGGTGATGCAGTATTGGACAACTTTAAATATTTTCAGTTCTTCACGGTGATAGCTGACGGTGACACCAAAACACAGGTGTCAATAAACATAAAACAGAGCGCATACAAGAGCCGCTTCTTTTTAAGTCGACAATCCGCCTTCTTCATCATAAGAAACATCCACTTTATGGACTGCCAGATCAATCTGTTCTGGGGCCTTTCGAAAAAGGGCCAGCTGAGGACCGAGTGCCTGTCATCCGTGGCCAACAACGAACCTGACGGACCCATGTTTAACAGCAGGAGCAGCCACCTGGACATGATTTACCGCAGCAGCATAGGCTACAGCCTTGGCGATCCCAAGATCAGCATCACCTTGATGCAGCTACAGTTGGACGTCGTCTTTGCCCCCAAGCCTGACAAAGTGCTCAAGCTGAAGAAGGCAGCGTCCAGTGGCGGCAGCAACGGCGGTAACAGCACCGGCGGCAATGGCACTGACCCGGGCGCGTCCAGCATGATTGGTGCCGGTGCCGGCGTCGGTCTGGGAGTGGGTCTGACGCTGCTGGTACTCTTGCTCATCGTGTGTATCGCGACTGCCCTTATCGCCAGGAGGAAGAGGCAACTGGCAGCCATGCTAGACCCGGACGCCATGCTGGACAACATCGCCGAACACCTAGGTGACAGCAGCGACTCAACCAGTACTTTCTTTGACGACACAACCGACAGCGACGACGATGACAAGTCGTGATGGTGTCGTGCGGCAATGAGTTCAGGTGTGTCTTCAGCATGCAGTGACGCGGACGAGGTTGTGT